GACGGTGTCCGCATCGTCCTTCTTCTGAAAAAAGGAGATCTTCAGCCAAAAAAACTTCAAGGGAGCCTCGAAAAGGCAAGAAACTAAGAGAAAAAGAAATTGGGAGAATGACAGACCTTCAGAGAGAGCTATAAAAAAGCCTGGCTGAAAAAGGACAACCAGAGGCATGTGGCTGACTCATGAAAATAAGCTCAAGCCGTGTTCACACTTTACGACCTAGCGATTCGGCAGCGCGACTGCGAGTGGCAGCGCTTACTGAAGTATGATCCCAATCTTGACGTCATATGAAAGGTCGAATATCAAGATGTTTCGTTGTTTTTATCAGCCCCATCTCTGGATGAGTGACTCAGAGTCATTAACCTCACAAACGAGGGGGCGTATGTGGGATTGCAGCAAAGCCAGAGTGGACTTTTCCATCAGTGGACGCCATCCAGAGCCGGCAACAAATGGTGGAATCAGTCGCCTTGACTGCGCCCAATCTACGTCACTTCACACACCCCACTTCTTTGAATGAGACATAGTTACTGCACACCCCCTACCCCTACGACCGCGGTGGATACACTGACAGGTCGATATAGTACCCAAAATACCGTGTGCAGCCGATTGTGTAGGAGCAGCTAGTGCTTTAAATATTAGGTTGTCCGGAAAGTTCTCAGCGTTTTGTGTTACTATTTTTTGTACATTCATTGCTGATTAAAAACTCATTCTCCCTTGCGTCTCAGTAGTACATTTGCCGTTTCACCATTGCTTGATAAACCCCCTTTTCCCAAGACTTTTTGAAGCATGTCAAAAGAGCAACTTCGGACGATATTTTTCTTCAACTACAAATTGGGTCAATCCGCAGTCGAGACAGCTCGACAAATTAACCAGGTGTGGGGGCCCAATAGTGTTGGAGAAAGCACCGTGCGACAATGGTTCGACAAATTTCGTTCTGGAGATTTCAGCCTTGAAGATGAACCTCGTAGCGGTCGACCTAAAGCAATACCTGACGAGGATTTGAAGGCGTTTGTGGAGGCTGACCCATCCCAAACAGTTCGAGAGATTGCAGAAAAGCTAGGCGTTGGCACTGTTGCGGATGGTCTGAAACGCATTGGGAAGGTGAAAAAACTCGACAAGTGGGTGCCCCACAATTTGAGTGACCGGCAGAAATTGGCACGTCTCGAGGTTTCTTCTTCACTGCTTTTGCGCAACAGAAACGACCCGTTTTTGGACCGAATTGTCACCTGTGATGAAAAGTGGATCATGTATGATAACAGGAGACGTTCAGTGGTTGGATGCCGACGAACCACCGAGGCAATTTCCAAAGCCGAATCCTCACGAAAAAAGATTATGGTCACAGTGTGGTGGTCATCGGCTGGTGTGATCCACTATAACTTTTTGTCACCAGGCCAAACCATCACAGCAGAGTCCTACTGTGAAGAAATCGACGAAATGTACCGAATCAACTGCAGCCAGCACTTGTCAACAGAAAGGGTCCGATTCTTTTGCATGACAACGCCCGCCCACACGTTTCACAAATCACTATCCATAAATTGAACGAATTGGGGGTTGAAGTTCTACCTCACCGCCATATTCTCCAGACCTTTCACCAACCGACTATCACCTTTTCAAACAACAACAACAGCAACAACAACAACAGCAACTTCCTTGCTGGAAAATACCAATCAGGACCAGGCAAGATAAATCTTCGTGGACTCGACCACCCAGTTTTTTCTTTAATGGGATTTCTCGACCATTGGCAAAAGTGTGCTGATTCGAACGGTGCTTATTTCGATTAAATCCGATGAGTATTAAGAAAGTTATGATCGTTTAAAGTGAAACACTCAAAACGCTGAGAACTTCCCGGACAACCTAATACCATTTGTTTATCCGAGCCCCTTTCCAGGTAGCAAAAAGTATCGTCTCTCCCGCTTCCTAGCCACACTCCTGAGCTTTCCTGCCCTGTGCGCTCGAGCAAGAGTCCCGGTCAGTGATGAATGTACATTTTCCTTTTCTTCCTAGACTTTTATTCTTGTGGTGAAAATTTGGGATGCAACTGCTCGATGCACTGAAGTGTGGAGGTCAACATATTTGCAGTCCAAAATTTTCTGCACTTTCAGTTGAAGGCACAGCCCGCGATCACTCCGCATTGCAGATAGTGGATTAGGGGGGATCGCATGTAAACGAAAAGGCTCTGAGTAATCGATAGTGAAGAAGAAAGCAGAAAAGAAACATGCCAACCGCTCTAAATAGGACCCCATCCTGATCCGGGCTTTACTTGCTCAATTAGCTCTATTTTCATCACTACGCCCTCATCCGCACACCTGATTCCCGTAGGAACTCTGCGACCGCACAAGTGACGATTTTCATGCTTTTCATCCTGTAAGTTCGTTTTTCACTGAAACACGGGCCTTGAAGGGGAGTCTGGAGGCGGAGTCACTGGAGAAAAGGAGGTATCACTGAAATTATATTGCGCTATAGTGCCCCTCCTATACAACTTATTGCCGTAAACCGGTATACGGTTGTTGGTCGCGGACCACACCTCCCCGACGCCATATTATCAACAGGGCACATCGTTGCTGGGGAATCCCCAACAGGGAGGGGGTCGTATCTGGCCGCTGGGAGGGGGAGGATCGTAATGAGTGCGGTAGCCAGTAACGAGCAGCGCAAAGGTGCCAGTGTGCTGAGTCCTGTGTAGCGAAACTTGCTTTATAGAGAATCCGGATATGTAAAAAAAAATAATACAAGACTTCCTTTGATTAATTAGTCAAAAATTACGTGGAAATATTAACGAGTCGACATCATTTCGTCATTCGGTATATGGCTAGACAGTACAACTCATACCCTGGTCCGCTGCGGATGATGGGGCGTGTCCAAGCAACCGCGCTTGCCGCTGAGGTAACCTGTCTGTTCTTCTTAAGACAAAACAGGACTACCATATCGTTGGTATCAGGCGTTTTCCAGCAGTTGGTCTCCGTTATTAGAATGTCAGCAAATATAGGCGGAACACAGATCTGGCAGCATCGGACACGGTCACGTCCCATCATCCGCAACGGACAACACTGTAAACAAGTGCTTAGGTTGACCATGGACTCTGCGTGGGAGCCTAAGCATGGGCGCATCCACAAATGGAGCTAATGGGCGCTAAAACACCTACTGCTTGTTCCTATTTCACGATGGGATGCATTTCAGATGCATTCCCTGGATATACGAGTACGCCTGCTTGAAACGGTACTCAGAAAACGGACTTTCGAACAGTTCGGAGTGTTCCACAACAAATCCCCAACGCATTTACCCCATGGATCCCGGAAACTTTAGAGACAGTTTAAGAGTTTTTGGAAAGAGGAAACCATCTAGAATTCGATAGTTGTTTCAGATTTCCAAACTATTGAGGTTCAAGGGAAATATCTTGGTTCAAAGCCTGTTATCCATCGCTCGCAAAGCTTATCCAAAAAGTGCACTCCCTAATAAACCCCAGGGCGAATTTCTCTATGAATTTTCTACACGACTGCGTTCTCCTCTTCCCTACACGTCCACTTTTAAGGAAGTTTGTAGCCCTTCAAAAACACCGTACTTTCCTGAAAACTCGCGCTCCAATCCAATCCACCTTGCAACCACCTTGCCCGGCTGGTCCTGCCCAGAATCCCTTCCAATCGATTCCTCGGCCGTTTTCCAGCTGATTGCGGCTGTTGCTGCGCCAATTCTTTTCATTTTTTTGTATTATGCTACATTTTGTTTTTTTCTCTTTAAGTAACATTATCATTTAACTCACATTTGTGCGGTGTGCATGCTACTCTTCCTCTTTTTAATTGCACACGTTTACACATAAATAGAATAAGTTCGGTAGGCCTGCTAATATCTATACATTTTTATCCCACTTCCAACGTCCGGTTTCTCCTTATTCAGTTTCGAATTTTGACCTGCAAACCTCTTCAATGTTTATTGTGAATGATTGATGAGAATACCGTTTTACTGGCAAAAACGTCAGCGTGGTCTGTTCTTAGTGGAACCATTCAAGTATTCCTGACGATGCTTCTTTTTATTACATTTTATTCTATTCAAGATGAGGGTTATGATGAATTTCTGATTCTTTTCGTATCAAATTTGTCGAAGTCTTGGTGATGAGCTCCCGTAGGTTCGTCTAAATCTCCACAGTTCAATAGTGCCGGTTTCTCAAGTTTAGGAAGTATGTAACGTCGAACGGTAAAAAAAGCGGAGGGGGGGGATCGTACGGGCTCGACCAAATTCCCCAGCCAGTGATGTGCCCTGATTATCAAGCTCTACACCTATCGCGGACCGTGCCTTTAAGTTCCCATCACGAACAAACGAGAAAGTAATCGATGGAAGCGATTATCGAAAAGATTCACCGTGATCTCTTCTGGTGATTCAAAGGAATCCAATTCGTGCGCCCGTTTGATTTGGGAAAGCTTCCTTCCAACTCTGAACGAAAGAAATGACCTATTCACCCTATAAGTGTGATCCATAATGAAGTTTTACCTCTCCCTTCCTTACGGAATACCGCATGTTGATCAAGACGAAACAAGGGATCAAAAATAGAGGGGAATAGATAAGAAGTGGATTACTGTCTTCATCGCTTAAGCCTCTGAGATCGGCGACAATCCCAAACGCAACGATTGTCTGGGAAGAAATGCCTTTAAAAAACAGTAAAAATTCCAACAATGAGCTATGGGTCTCGAGAAGGCCAACCCGGCGCGGCTTAGTCACTTCATGTAGCCGTGGTGAAATGAAACAATGCAAAATAAATAAGCCAGGTCACATTTTGGCGTAGAATGACCACGGTAAAGCCTTTCTTGTTTGAGAGATTCGCAGACACAGACATAACGTGGCTCACCCGCCCTCTTTTAGAAAGGGCCTTTCGAGCGAAACAGAGCCCAGCGAAAAGCCGTCATACCAGAAGTATAAGTGGCGTGAAAACGGTCCAACAGATTGATATGAAATATCCTGAAGCGCCAAAGATTCGACCTTTGTACCCATTAGGGATTCCAATATTCTTTCGTATGTCACGTCGCAGCTTTCGTATGCCTGAGTAAATATACCGGGACAAAATATCGGAATGGATACAGATTACCGTAGATTTTGATTATTGAATTACCATACGAATACAATGAAGAAAACTTCCAGGAAGCAAAGGCTCAGCACCGCAGTTCCACCGATCGAGTTGAAGAAGAGGTGAAACCAGTAGAAGCCGGACTGAATACATAATCATTTTCGCTTGGAATAGGATGCAAGCACCGTCCACGGTAGGCGGAGCTTGCCGCCTAAAGTTGGCGGTGCCGTAGGCAAAAATTCATAACTCGCTTCTAGGGCAGCACAGAGGTGAGGGTAAAGGCTAGCAAGGGGCTGACAGACTAATTATGGGAGAAACAATGAATGGGTTCTCGCAGCGTTCTCGCTGTGGGGCTTGCTTGCCACAAAAATTTGTGGCGCGCTTCCCGAGATAGTTTAGAGAGAGCAGAAAAAGTCGATGTAAAAGGGAAACATCTGGGAGAGTGGGATGCGTGCGGTGTGTTGAGACCCGCCCACGGTGGGCGGGATAAGCCCTCAATTGGGATACTCACTTCGAAAAATTCTCGCACGGCTCCAAAACACTCCAGAGACGGCAGAAAAGTGGATTAAGGTCAGAGAGGGTTCGCCAGTTGAGAACTGTGGAAAACTCACGCAGACGTTGCTCACAGTATTCGAGACGAAAAAGTGGATTAGCTTTACAAAGGGTTCGCGCCTTCCTCAGATCAAAGACCGGAAGCCCAATGCAACACCTTCTCCCCCTCACTTATAGCGTTCCTGAAACAAGAAAAAGAAACCTTCAAAAAAATTTTTCCAACCAAATACGGCCCCCTCTCTCCCAGCGCCAAATACGACTCCCCCGTTAGAAAATTCCCATCAACGATGTACCCTGGATGCGCCCTCGAAGGGGTCGGGTGCCCGAGATAGCCACCAAAGCACCCCGACTTACAAAGGGTGCCTCGATTGGCCCTAATAAGAGCAAGTGATCGCTACCTGCCAACACATGATCAGTCCAGCCAGCAGTGAGAACAGACAGAACCCGACGACAACAAGCCCTTTCCATTTTTGTAGAGCCGTAAATTGATCAGTAAGTGTGGTGATAAAATTCTGAGTCAGCCCTCAAAAATTGAGTTGAATTAGGTCCGATACAATTTGAAAACAACCAACGTACCGAACTGGCTGCTGATTCCTAATAAGAAAAACATGAAAAATAATAAGAAGGCGAAGATTCCAGAAGCAGGCATGCCACTAATCGCCTGTGTATAGGTAACGAATATGATAGAAGGAGCTGAATACGTGCGTTCGTGTGAATTTTTAGCGCATTTCAGCGACAGGGGGGGGGGCATTTTACACT